GAGATCCTACTTACCTCGGCCCTTGCTTATGCTTGCCTTTCAGGCATTTTCTATTGCTAAGATAACAAGCGTCATGATAGACTGAAATTCGATTTTCTATCAGAATAATAATAATTAAGAAGCAGATGTGAAGGAAGAAAATACCTATAGTTTATATTTACTTTTCAAGTGTAAGATTTTTTTTTTTTTGTATTAACATTTAAACACCTCTTTTAAATTTGTTCTCACCTAATACTGGCAATAATTCAAACATCCAATCTACCTCCTCAACCACAGAATAGGCCAGTGCCCGATATTATAGCAACTACATATGAAATCCTTTCCAGTGTAAAGTCTTATTAACATTTAAAAAGAACTAGATCCATTCATACTTTGACTATAGAGTCAACGCCTGCTGAGCAGAACTCACTGTCTGTCATTCCCAACCTTTCCCCCTCTTTTGCATTTACTGAGTCCTTAAATATCAGCAGCACACTAAAAGTTCTCACATAAATGCACCAAATGAAATCCTAGCCCTCCCGACCCATTTCCCCTGTGTTCAAATAACGCTGAGGGACTAATTTTCAGTGAATTGTCAAAAGGAAAGGTGGCAGTCCATTTAGCAGTCAGCGAGTTGCTAATTAGCACCCAACTAAAACGCATCAAAATTTGAGTATTCCCAATTGAACACTTTGAAAGATAAGCATTCTACTAATTTAACTCTGCTGTAGGTTGAGCCCTGATTGAGTCTTTTCACAGTAAGATGAGCCATATTCCAGTGTTTCTCAGTATTGATTTTTAGCCTGGAGCTAAAAATGCTCATCTAAACATGTCATTTTTAAATCTTTGATTGCCCGCTCTAAGGGGTACAAATTATGAGACGCTATGTAGTGGGTTGTCACACTCTGACAGAGGAATTTAAAAGGACTTCCTCATATCTTTTTGAGATTCTCCAGATTTAAAAAAGAAATGCTGGGGAGGTAGAGGAAGGAATAAACATGAGCAAGATAGAGTTGTTTTAAGAAGCAGATTGTCAAAGTGGAGATCTGTCATCAAAGTGGGGAAGCTGAATTTAGTCTGGTCTTCCCAGAGATAGTTATGGTCCTTTTCGTATATTGGTGGATTCAGGCTGGGGACTGCAGCTGCCATTGGAACTAGGCACAACACTGTTTCTGCAGAATCATGTAGAGCTTGACAAGACCTTGAAGTAATTTTATTCTGAGGAGTTAAATTAGCCCTTTTTTCAGAACTCAAGAAAAAATAAAGAAAAAAAAAAAAAACCAGAAAGGGGGTAACATTTTTAAGCACTTACTATTAAACAGTTTTTTTCAAATGAATTATAAATAATAAACAACCTTGAGACAGAGGTGATGGTTTGTCTAGAAGCCTGGATATAAATGATATATTCTGTTCCCCAAATTCCATGCTCTTTCTACTACTGACAGAATTTGAACTCTCCAATTCTTAGTGAGAAGAAACCCAAGAGTACTAATGACGTCTTGGAAGAAAATAGCATTGTCCTATTTTTTTCTTAAAGGAAAATAGGTCAAAATGAAGCTTCTATGATCACTGAATTGTAACTGCTTAAAAGTTTTTGAGAACGGTATGGAGAGGCACAAACTGAACTAGGTTTAATGAGACTAAAGTGACCATGTAAATCTCCTTTGCCATAAATAGTGTATCTGATCTGGGAAAGGGGCATTACTCTCTTCTCCCTGTGGTTCTTTCATGCTGCAGCTGCTATGGCAACATGGTGGGTGAGGCTGAGAAGGCAAGGCTTTTTGGAACGTTAACAAAATCAATAGATATTATAGAAGAGTTGGCATGAGTTTCTTAAGCACAATTGCTAGAATAGGTACCTGGGGAAGGAAGATGTAGACCACGTCAGAGGCAAAGTCTTTGGAGACTGAGAGAAGAAACAAACTTTGCACCTTAGTCAGTGTCTACTTTGTAATTTAGCCTCTGGGTAGTTTTGAAAGAAAGAAGAAAGAGAAAATAGAATGTCAGAGCAGTTGAATTTAATTAATATGAGAACATAACTTTCCTTTCCTTGACCACACTCTTCCCTCTCAGAAAAGATTTCTCTAGATCTGAGAATCAAGAGACCTGGATCCTACAGCTCTCTGTAGACAATGAATAAATTCCTTTAATTCTCTGTAGCTCTTATTTTCATTATTTAATAAATGGCCTCAACTGTATTGTCTCTATTCAGTTATACATTGCTCTGATTCTGTGATTCCTATTTTCTATTAGAAAGTTTTACTCCACAGAGAACAATGCAGACTCCTAGCACAGTATGTAGTATATAGCTAGTATTCAATGAAAAGGAGTCAGATGAATGAATGAATGACTTTTTTGGGTCTGATTTAATCACGATTTGTGAGTTTCCCATTTGCAGGTCTACTATAGTACACTGCATTAGATTCAAGATAATTATTGATTAGATGATTCCTGATTTTAAACTACTTATGTATAGTTTCCATAAATGTCTCTAGGTATGAATAACATAATGGACTTATCTGTACACACTAACTTGACCATACAGGCCCTTAGTCTATCATGACCCTCAATTCTACCACTAGGTATATATATCTAACAGAATGCATGCCCATCTGCCTCAAAAGACAGGTATAAGAATGTCCATAGCAGATTATTCATAGTAGTTCTAACCCAAAGCCCATCAACAGTTGAATAAACAAATTGTGACATAGTCATGTAATATAATATGACAGCAATGAAATGAACAAATTACATTTATAAACAAAAACATGAACATCACAAACATCGTTCTGAATGAAAGAATACAAAGGAGTTCATGCTGCATAATTCTACTTACATGTAATTCAGAAACAAGCACAACTAAATCTAGCCTTTATAAATGCATGTTTACAAGGAATATATATGGCAAAGGGATTGCCATAAACGGGGCTAACCTTTAGGGGAAGGGTAGGTGGTTCTAAGGCACAGGTCTGCCAGGGCCATCTGAGCTCCTAGCAACATTTTATCTTATGTTTGTGCAGAGTAACAGAGGAGCTTGCTGTTTCTATATCTTTCTGTGGTGTATATGAGATTTCACAGTAATTTTTTTCTTTTTGTTTTTAAGAAGTATGTGTAAAATTCCAGGCCCCTAGTAGGCGCTGAATACATGGCGGTTACCTAATAAGCATTCCACCTTTCTTCTTCTCCTGATTCACTCTGCAAAGCTAATCTTAAAAAGTAATGAATAATCTTATTGTAAGTGCACAACCCAGACATCCATTCCCAGAAGAAAAGTTGCCCAGGGCATGAGCAGATTGCAAAGGCAAAAGGTGTTCATTCCTGCCTCATCTGATTGCCTCTTACACTCGCACCCGAGTTGTCATACCGGTGACTGTGTTCCAGAGCCAATGAGCACTCCAACGCTTCATAATTACTGAAACACATGTGCTAAGTCACTTTTTGCTAAGCCATGATGAGAATTCTCAGTGTTCAATTGCCCTCAAAATTTCTCATCTCTTCCCTGGGGTGAGGTGCTTTGGTTTAGCAGCTGCACATGGGGATTGCATTTAAATCATTTAAGGTTTAGAGTTCAATATCTCCTAAAAGCAGCCTCTTCTTCTAGCATTCCTCTTCAGGTACACCTAGATTTTTTTTCTACTTTAAAGTGAGGAATATCTTTTAAGGAGGAGGAAACTTTCAGAAATACATTAACTCTTTGAATGCACAGGTATATTTCATAATGCTGTCTGCTTGCATCTTTCCAGTCACTCACTCCTTGGTAGTAGTTTTTGAAGTCATTAGCCATCCATTTCAAATGTTAGCATCAAAAGCATTAACAGAGTGAATCAGGTGTGTGGGTAGCTAACATTCAAAAGAAGTAGTGGAGGAGAGTACACAAAAAAGTCAAGGCCAATTTTACTTTTAGGTAACATGGTCTCTATGATATACAAACAGGGCCAGGCGCAGTGGGTCATGCCTGTAATTCTAGTACTTTGGGAGGCCGAGACAGGTGGATCACCTGAGGTTAGGAGTTTAAGACCAGCCTGGCCAACATGGAGAAATACTGTCTCTACTAAAAATACAAAAATTAACCCGGTGTGGTGGTGGATGCCTGAAATCCTAGCTACTGGAAAGGCTGAGGCAGGAGAATCACTTGAACCTGGGAGGCAGAGGTTGCATCGAGCCGAGATCAAGCCACCATACTCCAGCCTGGGCAACAGAAGGAGACTCCATTTCCAAAAAAAGCCAAACAGAACCTCTCCCTGAATTCTCCCAACTGAATTGCTTATTTGGTTGGTTAAAGTTTTCATGAAACAATTAGAATTATGCCTTAGGATGTAAATTTTCTCAGAATCCCATCACATTGACAAACTTATGCTATGATACAGATGACAGATGTCAGAGCCTTTTCTGAAAGCAAGATTTTTCAGAGAAGTAAAAAAGAGCAGCCAATGGTATTTTGGCTGATACAAAAAGGAAATATTTTGGATGCCCCAAACAAATTTCACCATTTAATGGCTGGGCCAAGGCTTATCTCTATTATTGTTAATTTTAGAACTTCTCATTACCCCAGCTGTGTTGGATGTAAAAGAGGTCAATTTTAGTTAGCTCAAAATTAAAGCAGGAATTTGGGACAATGGAAGAAGGCTTGGAACAACAGCGACAATCAGATTGAATCAGGTTCAGCCTCTTATGCTTAAATAGCTTTATTTTCAGAAAATATTTGATAGAGGTGAAAGAATAAGCTCCATCTGTATTTTTCAATGATAGAAGTGAAGGACTTTTCAATGCAATATATTTGGATAAATATCCTGTCAAGCACCTACTGTGGGCCAGATACAAACTGCTATTTTATAGGGACTTCTAGAATGGGTGGATGAGTCTGAGGCACTGCCCTGCATCATTAATCACTGTGAATTGAGTACATGGGGGCTGTGAGATTGTGCAGTACTAGACACCACAGGCCTGTGGGGAGTTTGGATGAAGATTGTCAGAAAACATAGAGGAGGCTGGACTCTCCCCAAAGTGAATCTGCAGGCCTAGCTCCCAGTTTAGACAGAGAGCTCATTCATCCATGGTGACGCTGCTGGGTGTGATTTGCCAGTCACTGAGATGCCCTTGTTTTTTTTTTTCCTTCTTGCAGAACCATCTGCAGTTGGTGAAAAATAACCCACTACAGCTAGTGAACATTTCCCACCTTTTATCCTCTGGCTTCATAGGGCTGTGACAGACGGTGCCCCAGCAGGAACTATGCAGCTCAACTGCCAAAGGTGAGTGCCAGCCATCGCGATGGTCCTGACTTCAGATCTGGGGTTCGGACTCGTTTGATCTAACTCTCCTTGCTCAACCTGAGGAACTACACACAGTTAGAACTTGGCAATAAAAGCTGTTGACTGAAGGACTGGAGGATCTTTTCTAACATTATGAATCTGAAAGGAGCACGAGGGTTTGTCCTTCTAAGTTAACCTTTGTATTTTAGGTAGAGGGAATCTAAAGTGCAGAAATTTAAGGTCCAGATCCCTGGTCAGTCAGTGCTATTTCCATTCTGGATGCATCTTTCACTTTTCTATGTCATGTGTTTTGTTGGGTATCTACGTACTATGAAGAGGCAAAAGGTATCTACTTTCTGGAAACTTTCTGTGTCATGTAAGAAAGTTTAGTTTTATGTAATACATATGTTAGTGACTATCATTGACCTTGGGCTCATTGTGCTAAATGTTTCCTAGGCTTCTTTAGATATATATACTGATATACGCTGTTTATTTCTGACCAGACTACCTTGCCCCAGAGTGAGTACCAGAAACCACATGGAGTGTTGAAAAGGATAGGGTTTTAGGGCCTAAAATACCTAAAATGGAATTCCAATTTCCCATCTGCCAGTTATAGGATCTGTAACTGTCTTTCAAAAAGAAAACTGTTTTAACTTTTATAAAGTTCAACTTACCACTGTTTTAGCAGTCTTTTGTGTCTTGTGTAAGATATTTTTGCGTAACCAGGTTGAGGTTTCTTTTTTTTTCTTAAGGATATCTAATTGTTCCAGTGTCATTTATTGAATAGACTATCTTATTATATTCAATCACCTCAGTGCCTTTGTTGAAAATCAATTTAGCATGAATGTGTGGGTTTATTTGTGGATTCTTAGCTTAGATGAATGTCACACTGCCATGATTACTATAGCTTTAAGTAACGAAGGCAAATCAAGCTAATACTTCAGTCTTACTCTTGAGTTCATGATTGTTTTTGGCTGTCCTAGGTTATTTTCTCTCTTCATGTAAATTATAAAATAACTTATCAGTTTAGTCAACAAAGCCTCTTAAAATCATACTAGAATTACATGGAACCTATATCCAATTTGTGGAAAATTACCATCTTACTAATATGAGTCTTCTGAACCATGAGCATGGTATATCTTTCCATTTATTTAGGTCTTTAATTTTAATTTGCAGTGTTTTATAGTTTTCAGTGCTCAGTTCTTAGAAATCTTGTGTTACATTTACTTTTTTTTTTTTTTTTTTTTTGGCTGCTGCTATTGCAATACCTTTTCTTTTCTTTTCTTTTTTTTTTTTTTTTTTTTTTTTAATGAAGTCTCACTCTGCCCAGGTTGGAGTACAGTGGTATAATCTCGGCTCACTGCAACCTCTGTCTCCTGGGTTCAAGCAATTCTTCCATCTCAGCCTCCCGAGTAGCTGGGACTACAGGCATATGTACCACACCATGGTAATTTTTGTATTTTTCAGTCGAAATGGGGTTTCATCATGTTGGCCAGGCTGGTCTCGAACTCCTGACTTCAAGTGATCCACCTGCCTTGGCCTCCCAAAGTTCTGAGATTACATGCATGAGCTACTGTGCTTGGCCTAATAGTTATGTTTTTAAAGATTATTTTTAAATTTCTAATTTCTAATATGTAAAACCTAAGTTGATTTTGCTGTTAGATCTTGTATGCTGAGATATTATTTAAATCACTTATTCGTTCTAGTAGATATTTCTGTAGCTTTTTAAAGGGTTTTCTATAAACACAATTATGTCCTCTATAAACAGTGTGATTCCATTTTTCCAATCTTTATTGTTTTTATTAATTTTTTCTGGCCTTACTGAGTTGGCTAGTGCTTTCAGTACAATCAATGTTAAGGTGAAATGGGGAGAACATGCATCCATGATGCTTTCCTGATCCTGGCTAAAAATTATTGAACCTGCCACAGCTGAGAATGATATTAGCTGCAGATTTTCATAGTATCTTTTAATAAGTTGGGAAACTTACCTCTTATTCTTAATTTTCAGACACTTATTACTCATGTGAAATACTATTTCTACATTCATTGAAAGGATCATGAAAACTTTCAATCACAAATTTATGCACATTCTCAAAATAACAGGCCAATGCTCCCTTCTCAAAAGTGTCATGGCAATGAAAGACCAAGGAACTGTACTGGACTGGAAGGAACTAAGGAGGCATGGCAGCAAAATGCATGTGGGACCCTGGGGGGGTCTCCAACCACAGAAGGGACATTAGGGGTAAATGGGTGGCGCTCCACTGGGGTCTGCAGAGTAGCGAGTTAATGTGTGTTGGTGTCAGTGTACTGTGGTTACATGCAATGTTAACATTAGGAGAAGCTGGGTGATGTTGTATCAGAACTCTCTGTACTAGTTTTGCAGCTGAGATTATTTAAAAAAAAATTAAAAACAAAAAGACGACCAGGGTTGAACATCTCACGACCTCTTGTTGAATACCTGTACTGATGAGGAACTCACCACTGACCACACTAAGCATCAGCTTGTACCTCCTGGGCCCCTCAAACCTCACCAAACCCAGATATTCTAAGATGGAGCTTGAGTTAATTGTTCAGCAGCATCTTCTTCATAGTCTGTCCACAGGAGCACCTGTGGCACTCACAGCTCTGATAGAGCCTTGTTGATTGGGTGAACTCCCTGTCCCAGCCTGGCCCTAGTCCCTAGCCTTTTCTCTTTGGAGCCCCTTGAGAGAAAAGTATGGTGCTAAACATAATAATGACTTCTGAAAATGTCTGTGCCTGGTCCCTAGAGCCTGTGATAGGCACCTCCCACAGCAACAGGGATGTGCAATGTGAATGATTAAGGATCCCGAGATGCAGAGATAAGCATTTAATTGCACATGTTCTTGTAAGAAGGAGGCATGGCTCAGAGTCAGAGAGAATTTGGAGGTGCTGTGCTGCAAGCTTTGGAAGATAGGGGAAGCAGGCAGGAGCCAAGGAGTGCGGGTGGGCCCTAAGAGCTGAAAAAGGCAAGGAAATGTATTTGCCCCTGGAGACTCCAGAAGCAATTAGCCTTGGTGACATCTTCATTTGAGTCTAGTGAGACTCTGACCTCCAGAACCCTATGCAGACTGTCAGAAAATAGTGAGGAACACTTCCAAAATTCCTTTATCTGGCTAGTATTACCCAGATCCCTAAATAAGAAAACATTATAAGAATTATAAAGCTATAAATCAATACCCATTATGAACATGACTGCAAAAATTCTAACCAAAGTTAACAAATCAAATCCAACAGTATTAAAATAGATAAAATGCATCATGACCAAGTGAGACTTATCACAGGAATGACTAAGTTGGTGTAACATCTAAACTTCAATGTAATTCAACATGTAAAGAACATAAAGGGACATGGATGAACCTGGAGACCATCATTCTCAGCAAACTGACACAAGAACAGAAAATGAAACACGGCATGTTCTCACTCATAGGTGGGTGTTGAACAATGAGAACACATGGACACAAGGAGGGGAGCACTACACACTGGGGTCTGTTGGGGGGAATAGGGGAGGGACAGCAGGGGATGGGGAGTTGGGGAGAGATAGCATGGGGAGAAATGCCATATATAGGTGAAGGGGAGGAAGGCAGCAAATCACACTGCCATGTGTGTACCTATGCAACTATCTTGCATGCTCTTCACATGTACCCCCAAACCTAAAATGCAATTAAAAAAATAAACCACCACAACAACAATAAAGAACTGTGTCTTTCTAAATGGTTTTGAGGATAAATAAAACAATTTACTCAAAAAAAAGAACATAAAGAAGAAAACTATATAATCCTTTTTTTAAGTGGCTTAAATTAACACAAATTTATTATTTTATGGTTCTGGTTTTATTTTTGTTTTTTAAATATGTGACAGAATCCAACAGCAGAGCTACTTGGTCCTAGAGTTTTCTTTGTGGGAAGATTTTAAAATTATAAATTCATTCTTTAATTGATATAAGGTATTCAAGGATTTTTGTGTTTTCTTTGGTTGAATTAGGTACTTTATGATCTTAAGGAATTTATTTCATCTAAAATGTTAATGTATTACAATAAAGTTGTTTATAGTATTTCATTATTGTACTTTGATTGTAGGATCTGTATTGATGTACTCTCTTTCAATGTTGATATTTTGACATGTGTTTCTCTTTTCTTTCCTTTCTTTCTTCTTTTTTTTTTTTTTTTTTTGAGACAGAGTCTTGCTCTGCCACCCAGGCTGGAGTGCAGTGGAGCAAGCTTGGCTCACTGCAACCTCCACCTCCTACCTCCACCTGCCTCAGCCTCCTGAGTATCTGAGATTACAGATGTGTGCCACCACACCCAGTTGATTTTTGTATTTTTTAGGAGAGACAGGGTTCATCATGTTGGCCAGGCTGGTTTTGAATTCCTAACCCTTCAAGTGATCTGCCCACCTTGACCTTCCAATGTGCTATGATTACAGGCATGAACCACTGTGACACTTTTCTTTATTAGCATAGACAAGTGATTTTTAATTTTACTTATATTCAAAATAACTATCTTTGGTTTTAATTATACTATATTGTTTTTTCACTTTCCATTTCATTGATTTCTTCCTTTATTGTTTTCTTCTTTTCATTTAGTTTAGGTTCATTTATCTCTTTCTCTAGTTTTTAAGATGGTAATTCAAATAATTATCTCATCTTTACTTCTAGCATAGACATTTACATGTATAAATATCTCTCTAAATACTGCTTTACCTACTTTTGTAAATTTTAATATATTTTTATTGTCATTTAGTTTACATGATGTTATAATTTCTCTTGGGTTGTCTTCTTTAACCCACCTATCATTTGAAAGTATGTTCTCTAATGGTCAAATACTTGTATTTCTCCTAGTTATATTATTGCTATTGATTTCCAGTTTAGTCTCATTGAGGTTAAGAAACAAATTTTGTGTGATTTGAATATCATTAAATGTATTGAGACTTTTTTTTCTATGAGTTCAATTTGTTTTTATTGTACTTTGGGCTCTGCGGTA